CTGCTGTCTGCCGAGAGGTGTGTGTGCACCTGCTGCCAGCAGTGAGCTGGGCTGAGGCTCCGTGGACCCCACTGCAGCTGCTTGCAGCTTCCCAGCTGGGCTGGGCTCTGGGCAGGCCCCTGCCTCCTGCCATGGAGCCTGGGCTGCTGGCAGCAGTTGGTGGGGAGACTGCAAGCATCTGCACTGGGGTCTGTGAAGCCCTGGCTCAGCTTGTTGCTGGTGGCAGGTGGACGGTGGGGAAGGGGCATGGGCTGTGCTGCCACAAAAAGGATCGGGCCCTACACAGCTCCCCTGCCATCTGCCCCTGGCATGCCAACATCTTTTAAGTAGAGGTTAGTGGGTGTCTCTGCCCAAAAACATTGCTGACCTCTGTAATGCCACATGGAAGTGGCTATATTGTTGCAGTGCATTGCCTCAGCGTTGCCTGTATTTATGGTACCTGACTCCTACTGAAAATAAAATTCTTAGCAATATCAGATGTATATCTAACTGAATTAACTACATTGAGGGTTTTTAATTAGTTTTTTTTCAGAAGCTGAGACAAATCGCAAGTCACTTTTGAAAACTGAGACCTAAAGTACTTGTTACAAATAAAAAATGGGAGCCTAGTGGTCACATTTTTAGATTCTGTTTGTGCACGAAATTAGCCTACAGTGTGGATATGTTTCTACTCAGGAAGGCTATAGTGGGTGTAACTTTTAAAACCAGCTGCATTTGTTTGTGTGTGCATGTGCATGATAGGGGAGAGAGAGACAGACAGACATGCTAGTCTCACTGTGATTGAAAAGCAGCTGTCTTTTTGTCCCATCCATTTTAATGTCTGCTTTTTCGTTTTTTTTCCTCCCTGCTAAGCAAGGCCAGTTTAGTTCTGACTCTTTCAGTAGTGCTTTGCTTGGATTTCTGTTTTGCATTAACATTCTTTTTTTTAATGGGTTATAGTTTTTGCATGGTCTTGCTGCTGATTTTAATTTTTTAAGATTACTAAATTTATATAATGAATTTCAGATTTTATTTCAGAGATCTGCAAGGATCATTTCTAATAAAATGCTCAGCCGTATCATTGTCTCACGTTATTGACGTTTACCTTGTACTGAGAATATTAGCATGGTATGGTGGGTAGAACTTTGTTTTTATTTATTTTATTTTCTGTTGAACATCACAAATGTTTGCAGATAGAAATGTGGAGTATTGAATCCTATATAGTTTTAATATAACATGGGGATAAAAATGCTGAGTAGAAATGAAATGAATGGTTGTACGTAAATTTACCGGGATTCTACTCTATCCAACCTGGTGGTATTCATAGAAAAATGTCAGTCCACAGGCTAAGAGTTGCACAACTGCATACTGGATTATTCTGTGATAACTTACCATATTTTTTGATCTGTTACGTTCGCGTTGCCCTTTTCAGTTGAATTGCTTGTTTTAATTCTAAAACCAGAACATTTTCACAGTATTTATGCTAAACCCAGTTAGCTATCACGGTTTCTCATATATAACCTGTACCTTTCCCCCAAAATCAGATGGGAAAAATGTAGGGTGCTCATTATACGTGAGGAAAAAACCTGCTTTTGGGTCTGGACATTTGGCAGCAGGGAGGGAGGGACAGGGAGTGGTGGCAGTATTAATTGCCATGGCTCCCACCCCCAAATATCTGGAACTCATGGTAGCCCCCTCTCCCCAGCAATGTGCTGGACCTGGCTGGAGCATGGGACTGGCCATGTGGACAGATCTTGTGCACCGGCTCTGGAGCCACTTGCCGGGTTGGACTGGGCATGGTGAGTCCAGGGCTGCAGACTGGCTCTGGAGCTGGTGTGTGTGGTTTCCCCACTGCGTGGTCCCCAGCCTCACTGTAGCTGGATCGAGCCCTGCCGCGTGGCCCCAGTGCTGGGGCAGCTGAATCAGGCCTGCCCATGAGGTTGGGGCTGGTGTGTGGCTCCCAGCTCTGGCCTCTGGTTCCCAAGCCCCCTGCTCTGGCGCGTGGACCTGGCCCCCAGTCCTTGTGTGCGGCCCACAGCCCTGGAGACCTCAGGTCATTACCCATTCTCCAGGCTAAGATATTTTTTCCTTTTTGGGGCCTTCTGAAAATAAGTTCATGTTGTATTTGGTGATGTTGTATGTGAGCAAATATGACAATATCAGGTTTTGTCTTTATTCTCGTAAAAAAGGAGTTTAAGGAAAAAATAGCTTTGATAATAGCATCAAAGTGTAGAATGTTTATGCTCGCACAACTCAGCACATGGTATTAAGAAGAATTTGTTTACGAAAAAATAGTTTTCAAAAAATATTTAAATAAAGCAACTGCTGTTATCTGTATTTTTTTTGTTTTGTTATTATGCAGTTATTATTTTGGCAGCTACAGATTGTTTATCTGTTTTTAATTTCTGCTACTTTTTTCCTCAAGGTACTGTAAGAAAAGAAACCATTTAATAGCTTCAGAAAAATGTAATGCTGAAGTCTTTCTTGTAGTTTTGGTTTTGTTTGGAAGGTGTTTGGGTTTATTAATGAATTGTAGTTTGTATTTCTACATAATAAAGTAGTCTGTTCCAACTTTGGAGCCTACACCCTCCCCTTCTCTTTATGACTCAAGTATAAAAAATAATGGGAACTGATGTGAAGGCCCCTATCCTTCTGGAAGGAGAAGAGTGGAGCTAACACGGCATTCTCTTCCTGCCCCTGGAGGGTCCTCAGTCTTTCTAGCCTGTCAGCTAGTTTTTCTTCTGTGGATTTCTATCTGGTCCTACTTTGGCTCAGTCCAATTATCAAATGACTAATTAGATTTAAAAAAAATGAAGCCATCATCTCTGACATACCATCTGTGTGTTGTTTTTTTTTTGTTTTTTTTGTTTTTTTTAAACGAATACATATACAGCATACATAGTCTTTGTTCATTACCCAAGGTGCTGCTTGCTTCTTAAGGGACCATTTTAACCCTTCCTTTTTATACCTGTTTTGTCTGGAGTGACATCTCATGCCCTGTTGTGACAGTAGGCAGAACTTCCTCGGGTGCTAAACTAATACTCTAATGTGTTAGCAGGAATGTGGGAGCAGACTCCTTAACCCATTTTTTATGCTGGTGGCCTGACTTGATTTCTATTTCTTCCTTTTTTAGGTGCCAATCAACTAACAAGCATTATCACATGTAACAAGCATTCATATTCCTTGACTTTTTCACAGACATGTTACTTGACCTCAGTGACCTCCTTCAGGTATTGTATCTGTTTTTGTTTAAGTCTTTTGTTCAAACATTAAACCTTAAAACTGAATACAAGCAAAGAACTACCAATGTGTAGTATTTAGGAAGCTGTAATTATCTGTTTCCTTAAAGATTCCGGACAGGAAAATCATAGAGCTTGTAAATCGGGGTAATTGTTCAGTGAAATAAAAGCTCAAGTGCTTCTTTTATTTTTTAAACTTCACAAATAACAAATCAACAGTTAGTACAATCTTTCCATCAGCACTTACAATGGCATTGCAGTGCCACAAGGTCAGATTTTACACATTTAAAAAATAACAGCTGTTAAAGACGTAAATAACTTTTCTTAGTAGAAATGCCACTTAAATATATTAGCAAAGCACTGGGGCACATTTTGTAAAATGTATTTTAAGAGTTGTATACACTTTAAAGCACGTGGATATAGAGCTTTGTTAATGAATGTACATATATACTCTCTTGACATATTGTAACTATTTTGCATACAATACAAGTAGGATGGTAATGTCTATATTTGTCTTCCCAGCTGTCTTTGTAAATGGCATCCTTCTGAAGGCTATTTATTTCTTAAAGGAATCTGATGGAATTAGAATAATCGGATGAATCTTTAATTCTTAAAATAATTAACATTCTTATCCGCTCCAAATTTTCAGTAAGTTGTATGCTTAGTTATAACCAAATAGAGTGTGGGGGTGGGTGCTGTGTGCTTATGCGCCCACATATCTGTGTGGGGTGAAGTTTATTTCATTTAAAACTGTGATTTCTTATATAATGTATTGCTACATAGGGAGATCACAGTAAAACTACAAGACATGAAACATAATCAGAGGTACTGAATCTATAAAAGAAGTCATACTACATATGGGCTAAAATAGTCATTAGTCTATGGAAGAGTTCTTAGATTGGTATGGAGGTGCTGGAAAAAACTAGGAGACAGTTCATTGACTTTCTAAGGCAGAGTAAGACCCAGTATTTTCAGATAGATGGGCTCTCCCCACTACCTACCTGAGATCTAGTTCTGCAGTCTAAGACTGATAAATTGTACCTAGGAAAAAACAGAAAATTCAGATGCTTTACCATCACTTGAAAGTATTTGTACCTTCCAAAGGACACCTGCTAGAATTCCCACCAACGGCACTAAATGTAAAAACGAACATTGCCGAATGAGGCGGATCACAGCCACAGCTGATCCACTCTGTTGGGTAAAACGCATCTCTTGTTGTCCTGCATTGGGCAGGGACTTGATGCAGGACATTAGGCAGCATTTTTCCTTTGCCCAGGGATTGCCTGAATGTCTTGCTTCCCTGCATCTCTTTCGCAGAACCCACATTTGCTTGCGCCTCACCTGGATGTGCAGGTCGGCATGGGTCCTGGCATGGGGTGCTGGGAATTTCTGGGGTTCCATGCCATCCTGCCTTGCCCCTCCTTGTTGGTATCTTGCCACCCCTTGCCTCTGCCAAGAAGCGCAGGTCGACACAGGTACAGCATGGAGGCACAGGTCGGCAAGGATCCAGCTTGGAGACATGGGGCACTGGGGATTCCTAGGTCCTGTGCCTCCACACCATGATTAACTTGAGCAGTCCCTGCTTACGGAGTTGTGCCTGGGGAATCCTGACTTTTTCCCTGCTTACATAAAGGTGCCCCAAGATTCCCCTGGGTGCATCTCTGTAATTGGGGAAAAGCCAGACAGGTCCTGGGGCTTGAGGGGCCCAGTCCTGCATGGGGATTCCCAGGGTTTGCAGGATTGGGCCTCTCTTGCCCCCACAGAGTACCTGGGATGTCTGGAGAGAGTTGGCAGCTCCATGCTGCTCGTACTCTCCTTTTGCAGAGCAAACAGATATCAGCTGCAATAAAGTGTCACTGTTTTACTTAGGCTACCTTTCAGCATAGCCACTGATTTGGCATGATGAAGGGTAGGGAAGGGATGTCTATTTGATCACTATTTGTGGCACCATAAAAATGTTTATAGTGGCATAAATACAAGATCAAATGATGTCGTTAGTGTCTTGTGGTAGAAACAGACATTAAAGAATGAGAAATGTATTTTATTATATTCCAGATGCAGGAAATATTAACCTGAACAGCTTAACTATTTTTAGATCAGATGTACAGATTTTGTGATAGAAATAACAGTTTTTCTTGCTCAAGCAAACTTGCTGTCTTTCTGCATCAGAGAGACCTCTTTTTTTTGGAAATGCTTAAAACTGAATTTTGTTAAATTTATCAAACTGAATTTTTTTTTTCTTTTTTGCTGGATCCACTGGACCAACTTTTGGCAGTCTGTAAGTGACTGGCATCTGGGAGCATTCCTACAGAATTCTCTTCTTTGCTGCTGCTTTGATATTTGTGGTGGTAAATTGACCTGTGGGAGTCCGGTAGACAGACTGACCTCTGGCATTCACTTTAAAGAATGCTTGTTAAGCAAAATATTTTGTAGAATGGCTTCAAATGATTTAGTGAGTTCATTACTTAATACCTTAGGGTGGACATCTCCCTCCCACCCCCACTTTAACAATTATAATTGCTGCAAAGCCCTTCATTCTACTGCAAATTGGTAAAGTAAGCATTATGATTCCAGCTAAAAAAGAAAATCCAGAGTCAGTCCATTTAACTTCTGTGTCACTGTTTTGGTCTGCATCTAACAAGGTGCAGCCTTATTCCACAGACCCCAGGTGAAGATCCTAAAGGGAAGTGGGAGATGACAAAGGGCTGTTCTACTCTGAGGTCCGTAGTGCCTAGGAGCACATTATGGTGGGAGAGAGTTGTGGATTATTGTCCTCTGGATGTTTGGGCCTGGGCTCTGGCAAAAACAATATGTGTATGAAGAAGAGTCTGAATTTTTCCTTAATTCAGCCAAGTCTCTGAATCCTGTTCCCCTTAGAAAAGTTGTTCTTTCTCTCTTCATGCGTCCCTTTGGAAAAACTAAAGGCCTGTATGATTTGAATTCTACACTTCTGAGACCAGGGTTTCTGTCCATTGGGAAGCTAGGGAATGCTAACTCTTAGCACCATAATACCACTTGTCCATAATGGCGTACAACTTCTGATGTCTTTTAAGGGTTGCCTGTGGATGTGGTCCCATATTTTCCATTAACGAAACAAAATAACTTCATTTTCAGTAGTGTTCTTCTGGTGTAAAACTTGTTATGCACCTTATGTTGGTGGAAGGAACTGTAGGGATCTATTATTTTTTCCCCTGGGCTTAGGCAACTATGTATTGTAGCAACAACTGTTTGACTTTGCTACCTCTTATTTGACAAAGGAGAACTGGGGTTGCGGTCTTCCTTTCTGAGCTTTATTTCAATAGAGCTGGCCTGGCAGAAGACTGACCAGTCCATTTTGTGATTTTGAGGTTTCAGAATTGGGGTGGGGGTGGGAGGGGATGTTTGCTTTTTATTGAAGATTAAATCCATCGCTTAGTGGGATTTTTGTTTGTATCTATTTTTGTATTGAAAAGGTCAAGTTTTTATTGGGTCCTTCTTACATTCCATGACTGGCAACTTCATCCTGTGGACTTTGAAACACCGCAAGTAAGGTTGTTCTTTCCATCACTTTATAGTCACTTGATCAGCCAGCAAGAGGCTTGCATCTTGAAACATCAGTGACTAATCTTTCTCTATTAATGATCAGGAACCTTTTCTATATTTGCAGAGAATGATTTTGAATTTCCCCTTGTTTGGTGTCTACTATAGTCTATTCTTTTTATTTTATTTTTTTTCTTTTTTTGAGAGAGGCATATTCACAGCCTTTGCTTCTTTCCCTGTTACTCCAATCTAGATTGCATTCTTAGCTGTTTATGAGTTGAGAAACGTGCCTAGTTTTTCCTTAACTTTTTATGGTTTAGGTTTACCCATTTGTTTTGAGGGACTTGTCTTCCTTTCATCTGGGGAAGACCACTGGCTAGAGTTTTGATCTCCCAGTATGTTGAAAGTTTGTCCCTCTAATCATGGAAATGCCAATCTGTTCCTGGGCTGCCTCTTGTAATCTCTAGTATCATGATCTTGAGATGTGGTCACAGTAGCCTTTAGGCAAAAGTAGGTGTTACCTTTGATCTTTGATTCCTGTGCAGAGAAATGGCATCTTTAATGTGGCTGCAGCATGGCTTCACATTATATGAGGCTCTTTCTTACTGTAAGGGTTTGTTGTTAAAGGAGAGAGGAACATAAAGAAGAAATGTAAATTAGTTACCTGGTCATTCTGTTTGATATAGCCCAGGGGTCGGTGTCCTTTTGCCGGCATAGGCCAAAGCTTCTGACCCAGTCTGCTGTGGGCCAGAAGTCTCTACCCCTGCTGTCTGAGCAGCTGGTTGCTAGCTTGCCAGCCCCTGCAGCAGAGAGAAGTGCTACAAAGCAGAGAGGCAGCACGATGCAGCTCCATGAGAATGACCCCCCGGGCCAGATTTGTAGGTTGCTGATCCCTGATGCTATTCCTTATCTTCCATGTCTTTCTCAAAAATATCTTTGCTTCAGGTTTGGTTTTTCAATTAATGAGCTTTTTCTCCTTTTTTGTGAATCTTTTACTGCTTATTTCTTCAGGAAGATTTCTGACTGATGTAGAAGTGGGGTGGCTGACTCTCATATAGGCATAGCGTGATTATTCTTATATTGCCTTGCTTTAGTGGCTATGTAAGGTTCACTGTAGAGTTTTCTTGTCAGAAAAAGGAGTAGCAATACTGCTGTAAGTGGACTGATTCACTCTCCTGTGAGCACTTCAATTGAGGGAATTATTTTTCAGCACAAGATGAGAAGAAAGCTCTTAATGACTTTTGGTCTGTCTCATTGGAAAAGGGGTGGGTTCATATTTGTCTCTGTGACTTGCAAAATAACAGGATTTCATTTTAAGATTGTGAGATCTGGGTTGTTTACCTCGTTTGGGTTAAATGCAGTATTTTAGCTGTATTAGTTCAACTGGTTCAAAGGTTAACTTACTTTCATCACTAATACGCTATGAGTTTTATGACCTGAGCTTGACTGAATTTGCTTCCATTATGTCATTG